TTTCCAATACATTGTATCATTTAGTTAAAAGTTTAAGTGCTTTGTTTCTTCAAAATATTAACGAAAACGTGTATTGCAAATAGTTTCATGTAACTATAACTAAAGTTAAGATTTCCAGTTTGGGAGATGAAGAGAATTTTTCATTTTGTATTCGTTCTCACCTCCGTTAGATGCTAGAACTTAATTTTATGTAATATTCAGTATTTAGTATTAAATAAAGCCGAATGATAAATGTGTGACAAGCATTAATTTGCGTTAGACATCTGAGCTTTCCTGTGCTGTCCTAATGCATGCCGCTCATTCGGATTAAATAATGTTGAGTTCACAGGCACAGCAATGAGTGCCGTCTTCAGCTGTTTCTAATACGACTTTCATATTTAATGTCGAAGAGTGAAAGTACCATACGAGTTAAATCCTGTGTACTAAAACTGAACGAAGTATAAGCTCACTTTTGCTAAATGAGCAAATGCTCCGCATCAATGTAAGTGATTATTGAATATTATTTATGAATCTCAAAATGAGTGAACATGAAAAGGGATTATAGGAAAACATATAAAACTATGGAATTTATTCAACAGCTTTTTTTTAACTGACCGGGAGGGAATGCGCTTTTTATCAAAATACATTTAGATTCCTTTTTGACACGAAAATAAGGCTGAATTTTGCTGTGTAAATTTCTGTGAGTTATGCTAGAACACGCTTACCAACCCGTTTAATTAAATAAAAATCTGGAGTTCATGGATTCTCTGAATGAGAAAAATTGCTCATATTCATAGAATTCAAGGAATCTGTTCAATTAAAATATTATTTCCAAAAGTATCGCAAGAAGCATTTTCTTCCCCAAGTAAAATATATTAGAGGCTGAGCATATATTATAGCGGCCATTCTTTCGATAGTCAAAATTTTGCATTTAGTTTTTCTAGAAGCAGTTTTGTTTTCCAGAAACATTTTGTATGTATGTATGTATATACATATCGTATACATGCATGCACGCTATGATTTTTACAGTTTAGGAATTTCTTTGGGAATGTGTATATATATCCGTTTCGAATAATTACTTTCAAAAAGATATACTTGCATTTATGAATTTATTTTGCTGTTTGTAAAATGCGATGGATTTTCTTAATTGCAGCAGAAGGTTTTCCCTTAATTAGTAGCTAAGATTTTTAAAGAAATAAGATAAGTTTCGTGTGTTAGCTTGCTGTGAAATTCCAAAAAGAATGTCAGTAGGTAACTATATATATTTATATATATACCTATTCATACGACTTCTCCAAAAATTTATCGGATAATTAACATATGGCAGAATGACCAATTTTATAGCATTCTGCTATGTGATGTCGTTGGCAATATGCCAACTGTTAAGCAGATATGTAATTTTATTAACAGTCTATTCGTATTCAGGATTTTCTGTGGTATATTAGCCAGAAATTTTACCGTATTGTAAAACTTAATGATCATCAATTTATGTAAAGTAAATTTGAAAAATTCGATATGATTTTAGAAAAATAGTCAACATGGAGGTCCTGCTCTCTTTGTAAAATAGGTATTTTATTTAATTGTTTCAGTTCTGTAATTTATCTTCTGGTTTAATTCGTACAGGTACTGAAGATCCAGTTGAAATATATTTCTTAAGTGTAATTATTATCACATTTAAGAACATTAAAAAATAGTGTTAAAACTTACACCTAGAGCAAGCTGTTTCTGTGTGTATATACTTCCACCTACACTGATAAAATTTGGTTGTATTTATAAAGATCATTAAGTGAATTTGGACTCGTTTTAAATCTTAAATATAAGCTTCATAAATGAAATAAGCAAAGATTTTGTAATGATGATCATCATCAACATCATGATGTTATTGAGGAACTTAAAAATACCTGGAAGAAAACAAAAGTTCTCCGTATGAATTTTTACATTGCATCTGAACTGAGTTCGTCTTTAACACATCTATGTGATGACAGAAATCACATTAGAAAGAAACTAATTACAAAATTTCGTGGAAAATTGGGGATTTTTATTTTAATTATGCATCATCATTGTTAGCACACAATATTCAGCTATTTATATTGTTTTTATGTTTACTGAACGTGAAGTCATCATTTTAATATATTTACACTGTACATAATTACACTGTATATTACTGTTCTTATAAATATGACATTTTTTGCTACATTTGCAATTCCTGCTTTTAGCTACATTGACTAGACTTAAAACTATGTACTTAAGTCTCCAAAATAATAGCAGTAATAATAGTAATATTAAATTTTCTACATTGAAGTGAAATAGGACAATTTTGTAACCTAAGGTGGATTTATGAGAGCGTGCATTTTAAAGGGCAACCCTTCACCTTACAGTTTCAAAGAGAAGCAATGTAAAATGAAAGTAAGCGCATTACCTGTTTTTTAAGATGAGGGGCCGCAAAGCTCATAAATACTCCACAAGGTGTAACAATTCATTATGTATTTTTATTTTCAACTAAATTTCAGATATATATTTCTGAAATTTTACTTTCTCAGTTATAATTTTTTAAACAAATTTAATTGCTTTTTTACTATGAAAGGAGTTTCTTTTAAACTCTTCTCCTTTTCTTCTAATTAAAAGAAATTAAGTATGAAATTGTTTTGTAGAAATAGAGCCCAAACTATTTATGCTCATTTTCGCTGATGTAATTATTACGAGAAAGATCTCCACTGCTTATAACAGTGATTTTCAGAAGCACCATAGCAACTTAGCTCGATTAACACCAACTTATGTCTGCAGTACCTCTCTTGTTTTGAATGTTGAATATGTTGTTGGAATGAAAAGCCACATATGAAAATAATGGCAACTAATCATCATCTCTAATCTAAAAATTCATATCTCTATTCTTTTGGTAGTAAACGCTCAGCAGGCAAAACCTTTCTCTAGACAAAAATAAACTCAAATTTTGGTGTTTTTTGTGTATTTAAATAAATATTAATAGCAAATAATATTATATTTTGTGCTGCAATGCATGCTGTATTTAAGCACTTGTATATTTTAAAGTATATGCTTTCATTTAAATATTTGAGTTAGGAAACAAAATATTTTCGATGCGATAGGAATACCTTTTGTGCAGAGATCGTTATCGACAATGTGATAGATTCAGTGAATGTACCTTATAATAGCTCTGTTTTGTTGATATTAAAAGTTTAACTTCAATCAAATGACAGAAAAATTTTAGCATCGCCATCTACCTATACCATCTATTATCTATCCATCTACCTATATCATCTAGTTCTACCTAACTCGTCAAGTGATTCTATAATTAATAAGCTTTCTCTTACAATTAAATTATCAAAAGGATTTATTAAATTTGGTTTAACATTTAGTTCAATCAAAATTCCGAAAACTTGACAGAATTCATGATATTTCAAAATAAACTGAGTAAAGTTTACGAAATAAATGGAAATCAGTGCACACTTTACCAGTTAAGATAAATAATGAATTTATTTACTGCTTTTTTTTAATTGTAGCTTTATAATTTCTATTTATATTGAAATATCTTTATCACTTTCACTTTCTGATTATCTGGGTCTACTGGATCGAGTGATTTTCTGTTGTCTGTAATTATCAACTGATGTGTTTAATTCTTTTCACATTTATATTTATATCAATGTCCCTAAGCTTCTTCATCTTTTTTATTGGTCATGGTCTTTTTAGTTTCCTAAACAGAGAATAATGGGACATATTTAAGTAAATAGATAAAAATAATTAGCAGCTTGCCATATTTAAAAAATGTTACTAAAGAACGTATGCTGACCATTGATTCACACTTCACTAGAAGTGGGAAAAATTGGTGCAGTTTTAAAATTTCAGAACTAGTAACAACTATTAAATGGCTACTTATGGAGTAGAAACGTTTTGAGTAGACAATTATATTCTTTGGATATGTAATTTTCGAATCTGAAAAATTTTCTATGCTTCAAATATGTCTTAATATATTGTTAATAGAAATTTATTTCTTTACAGTGTGGACAAATTCAGTGCTGTAAATGTGAACATTCTTTCTGCCACTTAAAATGTAACCAATTACTAAAATAATAGTTTAAGACTCTTATAAAATTAAGAATGAAATTTTAATAGCGTGACTTTTAAGCTAAAATTATTTAAATTAAATATATAGGTTCGTAATTTTCGTCCTCATAAGCAGTCTCATAAAAATCCAAATCTTCTTTCACACTTGCATCAAAATTATAATATGTGTTGTGCAAAATGTAAAAGGCACAACTATAGCTTGTTACTGTGATACCTAAATGTTAATAGAATTTGAGGTACGATATTTCTGCTTATTGATATGTATTTACATTTGTGAAATTTATAGAACTTGCTATTTATTTGATAACGGCACTGCCAGTTTTGCATGAAAATTTCCAAATATCACGTAACAGAAAATCAAAGTTTCTCTTCTCTAAGAAACATTTTTATATTATTTTAATCATTAAGAAATGACATTCCGATGAAAATGATGCATGGTGAATAGGCTGAAAATTTGAATTTATTAAAATTTCATTTAAACTTTTCCAAAAATTTATTAAAAATAAAATACTTCTTTTTATTAATTTAAGAAGGTTTTTCGAACATGCAAAGCTTATGAAATGACTTTAGGTAGTATAACTGGTCTTGATGACTAAAGCGACTGGAGGTGAATGGAAAATTGAAATTAATAAATTGGTCTTTTATCTACGATATTCTGTAATAATAAAACATTTTAATTTCTTGATAATGTTTTTATTTCATTTTTAAACTATAAAAGTTAGTCTAATGTCAGTGATTATTTTGGTTCATAAAGATAAAATTTTGCATGCATGATATTTCGAATAGGTTCAATAGTTGTAGCCGATTTCTGAAATTAAATTTCAAATGAATCAATGAACAGTCATGAATTTCATATAAAAATCTGAAAAGGTCGTAAAATGACTGTACCTTGTTTTACCATAGAGTGTTATTGGTACCATACTGTGTTATTCGTGTTTCAGATATGAGATGGGGAACAGAGAGAGGTTTGCTCTCAGAGAACATCAGGACCTGATCTCCTGTGTCCAAGAGGAGCACCGCGTGTCTCAACGGCGGCAGAATACAGTGAGGAGAAAGGAGCCGAGAGGCTTCCTCTGATTGGCTGGAGACCACCTCCCCAGAACCACCCTTTGCGAATGTGTATCCATGGCAGCCGAGGGCTCAAATTGAATCCAACACACGGTTCACTCAAGTAAAAAATACCCAAATTCCAACTCTGATGTTGAAGAGTGAGGAGCGTTGCATCGTCGGTGAGGTGTCGTTGCATCATCTCCTTACATGATGAACTCATACTTCGAACAGCCCGGCTTTTACAACGGACAATCAGCCGCCGAGCAGTCGTATCGTTTTCCGCAGGGACTCCTTGTACCACCGTACCCTCCGCAGCCCAGTACGGCTCGGTCTAATCCCGCTCACGAAAATTCAGCGGCTTCGTATGCGGCGGTCGACGCCACTAATAACGGCAACGCGTCGGTGGCATCGACGGCGGCTGCGGCCACTGCTGCGGCGGCTGCGGCTTGCAAACTATACTCGAACTCCGTCAGCGAAGGTAGTTCTACTATCTTCAAGCCGGAATGCCTGGCTAAAGATCAGAATGGCTTCAACCAGGCCGTTAAGGAGATGGCCTCTTGGCCCTCGAGCTCTGTCACAGGCCTCAGACCGTCGAGTATGAGCGGGGAAACAATGCGACCCTTTCCCCCCGATAACTCTGCAACCCCTCGAGTAACAGATGCATGGTCGACCTGCTGTCAAAGCACGCCTCCTATGGCTCAAGCACCTGCCAATGCTTTCTACCCGTGGATGGCCATAGCAGGTTGGTGTAAGTTATCTTTCGTTGTTCTCCTTTTACATTTTTTTTTTCCTCTTTTGCAAATTATCAATAAATTGAAAAACGTGATCTGATGACACTGCTTCTTCAAAAACTCACAATGAAAGGGTTGTTGCTAAAGTAAACATATTTTACTTCCTTTTCGAAAACTTCACGGGGGGTGGAGATTCTTAGCGATTACGAGTGTTTCGTGTATGTACTTTCTTTTAAAATACAAATCGATGCTTGCCTCATAAAGCATTTGACTATAAAATAATATTCGCTTATTTTAGAGCATGCAAAACTATCCAGTACTTTTAGTTCCTTAACATACGTAATATTTTGATTTTAAATTGATAATTTGAGCTCCGAAGTAGAGAGAACATAACTGTTAGCTGATTTGAAAAAAATGTGTTTAGTCATTCTCAAATACGTACAGTTTTTTCCTTCAAGGAAGGATTAAGAGTGAATTTCGTAATATACACAATATATTTCTAGTCTCATAGATATCTTTCTTCATGTTTGTTATTTAGTACCATAACATTTAAAATCTTTTAATATTGGGTAATATCTCTTCGATGCTTCACTTATTTTTTTTAAAGAAATCGAAGCTGTGGTAAATGTAATGAACTCAACATTATTGAACCATTAGCAGCAAATCCACTTTCATCCAATAATATAACTCTTGAAAAAAATAATTCATATAATTAGTTCATAACTGAAGTCTAATGTGTTCTGTATTCGAAATCGCACTAACAATTGCATTGTGAAGAAGATGGATAGCACGCAGGAAGAGAATCAACAAACTTTTCAAAGATAAAATCAAAAACCTCCCTTTCATGAAGAGATGCTAAAATAAAAATGAGGAGGAAAAGAGCTCCTAAATCCCTTTTCTCCAACTTGCTTCCAACATTTATAGCACTTGCAAATAGTAGTAAAATAGCTTTATTGCCCTTTTTACAAAGTAAGAGCTCATGTATCACTTTCCAAATACCTTCCCAGTAGGGAGAAGTCATAAAACGACTGTTTACTGGTCATCAAATCCTGGAGCGGCTAAATAGTTTTCCCCTAGGACTCCCCAATCACTCAGTGAAAGCATGCTTCCCTGAGCTCATTCATCCACTACTGGTTAGAGAGTGTAACTGATTTGGGATAATCTGTTTTCTTAGTTATGATCACATCGATAGTGCTTTGATAAGCAGAGAGTGTGTTAATGTTTGCTATATAAATTTGTATTCTTGTTGATCATCATTGCTGTAAACAATAAGCAGCATTTACGGGTTAATCTAGGGTTATGCATTAAAGAAGTAATATAGAAGTGAAATACTCATTGGCTTTCAAATAAATAAATATTAAGATGGTGATAAAAAAAAGTCATGAAGTAATTCCAGCATAGTGAATTTTAATATAGCAATATTGATTTGTATTTGCCATATATATGTATGTATATATAATTTTTCCTAAATATATAATTTAAGGCATCAAAATCCACACTTCGAATAAAAATATATCTCAATTACTTCTTTATGTCATATAATAAGCATTAAATTTAAGTAACTGATTCTTTCAGAGCATGTGAATGTAAAAGATATTTTTAATAATTTGGAGTTTACTCTGTTGGAATGCCCATCTGGACCAACATATGTGTACAGATGGCTTATTATATTTAATACAGAAATGTAATATATAACACATTTTTAACAAGCTCATGTACAAAATGAGTTCTAGCTTCCTCTTCCAGTTAATCTTGTAGATTGTGATAGTTAGGTAATTTTAACAGATAAATTTAACCCTTCATAAGTTGCTGTCAGTATTTATGCCAATTTGTAGATAGATTTTTGTTTCGTTTTACTTTACGAGTGCAAACTACACTTAAATTACTTTAAGTGTTTACAAAACAATCTAAGAATTTTGTTCAGCAGAACCTTATTTTTAAGCAGCTCGAAAATTAATTTAAGGTATCTGGCTCATTTAATTGTATTCTCTGAAGATATCCTTTCTGGAAATAAATGAAGAGTTTCGAAGATAAGATTGTTTATAATTCTGAATACGTTAAATGCATTGTAATCCATGCATTACGGCAGTATCAGGGTACATGAGTGTTTTCCTGTAATTTTAAAGGAAAAAGTAGCTCAGCTCTTCTCTTTCCTAACACAATAAATTATTCATCAATTATCATAAAGCAAATAAAATCATTTTAAGGAATTTATTCGTGACTTTTTTATTCGAAAAGAAGGTTCTGTTTGACGTATGAATTTACCATGCATTAAGCAATTTATCATTCTTTTGAGAAAAACATATTCTTTGTAAAGATATTCAAAATGAGATTTCCTCTATAATTATAATACTTTTAATAATTATTTACAATTATCAAATAAAGTTTAATGTGTATCTAACTTGTCATATATAAAGGCGTGAGAAGATTTAAGCTTCTCTAGCTCCTTTTCTCTCATACCTCAAGAAACATGTATCATATAATGCTTTGTCGAGTTTTGAAATGTAACATCTTCTAACCATTTAATGGCAATCAAGCATTCTTTTGATATTCATTGTGCTACAATTCAAAACGAAAACAAATTTCATGGACGAATATATAAGAAACCACAATAATTTCAAAATTTAGACTACTTTATGATGCATCCTTTTCACGGGGGTGAAAAATTAAAAATTTCCTCTGGTAGGAAAAAACTTTTACTTGTGAACATACAAACAAATACAAAAAGTGTACATTTATACTTTTTATACGTACAGCATTATTTATTTCTAAAGAAATTTTACAAAATGTAAAATTATGAGAAAATCGCAGCAATTAAAAAGTTGTTAAATAAAAACAAACTACTGTAAAAATTAATAATATAAAATAGATATAACATATAACTGGAAAACAAGACGTAGAAAGTATGTATATATACTTTTCTTCCCCCGTGCATCTATATATAGATATATGCATATTAATTAACAACTGTTATAAAATAATTAGAACATAAAATAATAAACTCTAGTGTTTAAACAGCTTATATCAAAATTTTATTAATTTTACAGTAATTAATAAATTTTCTGTCTAACGAAATATCTACATACATTTTATTAATTTTACAGTAATTAATAAATTTTCTGTCTAACGAAATATCTACATACATACATACATGTACGTGCATATAGAAATAAGAGTCAAAACTATTTATTATTTGTAAATTAACTTAAAGTGAGTTTTATGTATTTTCTGCAAAGTATTTCTGCCTTAACTTCTATTAAAAGAAAAATGTGATGTATGTATATGTATGAATATATGTGTGTAAGCACATATTTATGTATGTACAAAGTAGAAATCAATTACAGCGAGCACGAGTATAACAAGGAAATTTTGTTGATCTAGGCTTGCTACAGCCGTATTCGATAATACCTACAATATAACTAAACGGGAAACAAAAGTATTCATATAAACATTAATTGAAAATATATTTGCTTTGAAATACTAGAAAAGGTTAAATAAAAACTGCGGTAGACTGCGCAGTAAAACTCGTTTACATATGCCAAATGTACAATAAAATCCGTCATGGCTATCCTACAAAAGGTCCGTTGCCATAAACCATGCATATTCTCGCAGTGGGAATTCTACGGCATCTAGATTGCACTAAAGTGGACAACAGAGAAAAAGCCTAACACGTTTCCCAACGCTTGGTGGAAGCGTGGCCAGATATATCACCGTGGTCCTGCCATCAAGGGACGTGACTGAACCCTAAATGTTTCTCCTCGCGTGAAATAGATGGAAAAAGAAGAGAGAATGTATCGATAACAACCTAAACCGTTGCTGAAAATCCTTCACTGCTAAAAAAGAACTAGAAAGCTTTTTTGTGATTCTGGCACATTTAGTCTCTGCTTCACTCACACTTATTTGAAGTGAAAAAGTTAATTAAATATTTTACTTATCACAGAATTAAAATAGGTATTCCGTAATGAAGTAAATAACAGTCCTGCATTCTTATTTAGTATTTTCGGTTAGCAGAAAGAAAAGCCTTAAATTTTATCGACGCCATATGAAAACTCTGCCATTGGAATTAATTGTTAATCTACTGATAGATCTACTGAATAGATTAATAAAAAATACGATCAGTGGAAAAGTGATATTTTATATATGTATATTAAATGTAGGATTATCATATTTTATACAATTTTTGAAATTTATTATTATTACTAAATAATAATATGACATTATATTAGCACATATTGTATATATGTACTAAGAGATGTAAATTATAAATCGAAAAGGAATATTTGAAAGCATTCGAATAAAAAAAAAGTCTTACTTTCATTTCTGATTTCTCTTTCAAATTTAATTCTTTGTAAAAATTATGTTAATTTGATATAAAAAATTTATATGTATTTCAAAAACGTTCTCGATACTATTAAGCTAATTATTCTGTTCGGACAACAGTGCAATTTCGCAATCACCTCGCACAAGCATTAATTAATGTATTAATTTAAAAAAAAATTAAACTCTTCATAAATGCCTTAATATTTTTCTTTTACGTCTCTGTTAAAAATTATTTTTAATAATTTTTTTTTCAGAATATTGGAAATACTTCTTCAATGAATGGTTTCAGAAAGGATATTTCAGTTCCATGAACTGTAATGCATTTTACATACTGGAGTAGATTACATGTGTTTCAAATGTAATAATGCAAACATTCTCTTAGAAAAGCTAAACGAGAATTTTGTGTGACAACCTGTATGCATTTTTTACATTGAAATGACATATTCAGTTATTGTCTCATTTTGAAGCATACTAACTGAGGTTTTCAGGGTTTGATTCCCAGCTTTAACATTTGCTCCAGTTCCATTTGCTTGGATGGTTTTTCTTTTTTTCCGTTGTGACGTAAATGTGAGCTTCATTACCATAAAGCCCTTCAAGAAGGCATTTAGTTCTTCGTGTGCTTTGCCGTGAAAAGTTTTCTTGAAAATTCGAAACATCATTTGCATATAACATGCAGAGTAAGTGAAAGAAAATAATA